AAAGTAGATTTAATACTAAACAACCAAGTTACTTTTCACACTAATATGCAATTTACTAAAGAATACCGATAACTAATCAATGCATAAATTACACTAAAATATCATGCATCTTACTTTAATAATTATTTAGTTATTTTTTATTTATTGCAATTTATTTTAAAAATATTATTAAATTTTATAAATTAAATCAATGCTAGTTTATTTGATCAACAAACTTTCTTATTTAAATTTCTATAAATATAAATTTAATTAAACTGCTGAGACCAACAAATTTATTCTCACCAAACAAATATTAATTTAGGATAATAAACTAATAATTTTATTAATAATTTATAAAAACATTTTATAACCTTTAATAAACTACTCAATAATTCCCGTATTTGAATTGGTTTTAGTTTAATTTATTGTAAAATTGTTTAAATTATTTTATCACTCATTGAATTCATTTCCATATTCTGATGGCTTCATTATGAGGTCTCACTTCAGCCAAGGAAACCAAAAAATTCAAGTACCAGGGTGATCCATCAGTTCCCTTTCCTGACCATAAATCATTACTGTATACACCCGGTGTAATGGATACATAGTGTGATGTGTAATTATTGCCATTGCCCATATTATCAACCATAACCAATCTTGGTGAGTCTTGTTCTTGAATATTGCCATTAAACGACGTACTATTATCACCCTCCGCCCTGAAAAATAGCCCTGCTTACGTAGGTGTAATATTGTCCCAGTCCATTTTGGGCCATAATGTTTTCGGTTCAGGTTGTCCTGATAATTGTGTGTATATGAAACCAATGGGCAGAGTGACAGCATTTTTGCTCAAATCTAGTACGGTTTGCTCTAAATTTGTCTGGTTAGCCTTTAATTCATCAATCATATGCTTAATTTGATCCAGGGACCATTGGATAGTTTGACAGACAACCAGGTTCTTTTTGACACATGCAACATCCACCCATTTACCCGTATTATGAGTTTCAGGCTCCATTTCCACACAGTCATTGGTTACATTGGAGGGCTCACCAGACTCCCAATTAGTGTATTCATCCTTGGACCCATCTACCCATGTCACTTTCTTATTGCTTACTTTAGCCCCGATCCATACATTGTCAGCGATTTTATGTTTCGTGAATAATAGGTCTGACAGGAAGTCCTGTTCCTGTTGTGAGTGTATGGTTAGTAGTGTAGAGTCAGCCGATTGTTTGTGGCATAGGTTCAGGGCATTATCATAACTTAGTAATGTTTACTTAGTAACTTAAAACATTTCTTATCAATATATTGTTCCCACCCTTCAGCACAACTTGATTCACCATGCACATGTTTGGCTAAAATAATTGGATATCAGTTAATTCAAATTTAATTAATTTAATTTTTAATATATAGTGATCCGGGTGTCTTAATATTCTAACACATAAATTAATTACATGTAATAATTATCAATACTTAAATATTAAATAATGATTTAAAAAGATTTTTAATTATTTAATTGTATTATATATAATTTTTAAATTTAAATATAATATAAACAGTTTTATTATTATATCATACTTACAGCCATTAATTAAACATAAAACAAATAATACAATATAATTCATATTAAAAATTGTAGTTTTTGTAATTTCATAAATACGGCTAAACAATTAATAATATTATAATTGATATTTATTCTAGTATATTTATATAAAATTATAATCTGACAAAACAATAAAAACAATTTTACTTATCAAGAAGTATAGGATAAACTATTATTTAGGAATTAATAAGGATTGTAATTAATCCATAGAATTAATTGATACTTTAACTTATGATTTATCAATTATTATACTGGTATATATACACAATAATATATTAGCTTCAATGAACAATTACTTGTGTTTTAATAATAGCGTAAGATTTTTTTTATTTAAATCAATTATATTGAGTGTTAAAAATATTTGTATTTATTTATAATTTTACATAATATTATATTTAAAATTTTATTAACTATATTATAAACAACATACTGTATATGAATGAATGTATATGAATAAAACGGTATTAGTAGAAATACTTGAATAAAACTTATAAAATATCAATTTCACTGTCGGTTAAGCTTATTATCTAAATGTGGATTAATATTGTTATTAAATATAATATTTTATATATCTTTATAAACTGATTACCACATCAAAGGGAAAATAAGATAAACTGATAATAAGTTCATGTTTTGAGAGTAATGAATGTATTAATATATTATTTGAGTCTATTTTAATCAAATGCAGTCTCACGAAAAATGCTTTATTTTAATCATTACTCTTTAATCTTGAATCTTATATTCAAGAATATAAGAATATATTGAATACAGTAAGTTATATGTAAAGTTTGAAAGCAATATTTGAAAATTAAAATTAAAGCATTTTTTTGTGAGACTGGATTTGATTGAAATAGGCTCATTTATTACTTTTAAATAGGCAAGCCCACTTAATACATTGGAGTTTTGGTGCGAGTTGTGTGTTGAAATCTTTGCCAAAATGAATGTTCACAGTATTTTATGGGGGTATGTGTGATTTTTATTACTAGTATAACTACTTTATAAATAATGACAACAAATTGTCAATGAAAAATCTAAATGTTGTTAATACCTCTGTGATGATGCCAAACAAGGTATAAAATGTCATATTCTTAAGGGTATTATAATTCTCGGTACAGTAATATATACAACGAAATTGTTTAAATTATTAGATTTATATCTAATTAATTACTTCATTACTATTTTTAATAATGAAAAGTGTTACAACATTAACTTTTGTTTTAATTTTTACTAAATTCACTAAATGATCATATAATTAGAGTGCTTAAAGTAATTACTTAAAGCGGTTGAGAAATAGGATTAATAAATTATCAATCAGAAATTATCAATGCACTTTACCTTACGAATTTAGTATTAATAATTTCTGATTAAAAAACTTATTAATCCTACTTCACAACCGCTTTATTATGTACTTTAAGTACTTTAAGCAAACTTATTATAAGATAATTTAACAAATGGCTATTGAAGCTCAATTTACTGAACCGATAATCATAATCCCACTGATTATATACCAGAGTGGCATTGAAATTGAATGTCATATAAAAGGTGCATGCCACATATAGCCATCATATAAAAAGTGCATGTCACATATAGCCAACATACATAATACTTAACCTATTATTGGCAATACAATGCAATTCACTATAATATTGACAGTAATACTAGCGGTGGGGCAGTGTTTGGCGCAAGATCATCCATGGGACTCTAAGGCCCGAACTGACCAGGGTTGGATAGATAGACACAATAAGCTCATCCAACAGACGGTCCAACATAAATCTGATGAACATATCATATTCGTGGGCGACTCCATCACCCAGTTCTGGGAGAATGCGGGCCGGGCCACATGGGACAAGTACTACGCGCCCAGACATGCCTACAATTATGGCATATCGGGCGACAGGACCGAGAATGTCATCTACAGAATAAGGGATAAGGAGTTCGACGGACTCCACCCCAAAGTGGCCGTCCTTATGATCGGTTAGTATTTGTATGAAATGTGCTTTTATTAAACATTTTGGTGACAAACATAAAGCATAGGAAATATAGTAATGGAGTATTTATACTACATTACTATATTTTCTATGCTTTACGGTTGTCACTAAATTGTTTAATAAAAACAAAAATGTTTTGTATATTATTAATGAGTTTGTGAAACGATAGGCACGAATAATATCGGAAACAACCCGAAAAGCACGGTTGAGGACACTGTTCACGGCATTAAGGAGGTGTTGACTGAATTGACCGCTAAACTGCCCGACACTAAATTCATACTGACCTCAAATATGCCCCGAACTGAACCCCTGGGCTCTCTATGCAAACAAGTGAATGAATTGATCGTGAAGTTTGCCGACAATAAGACGGTTTTCTATCAGGACTTGTGGACTCCGTATGTGTTTCCTAACGGCACTCAAAAGGTGGAGCTGTTTGCCGATGGACTTCATCCCAATGAGAAAGGGTTTGAGGTGTGGCAGCAGTCTATGGCGCCACTGCTCGACAAATTGGATCCAGCACATTAATGACATATTTATTATGATTGCAAACATTATATTTTGAATTATTTATTCAGTTTAATAATAAATAAAATATTAAATTAATTGCCGAGATTACATTTTTATAATTAACCTCAACTGGGACATGTTACATTAAAATAGTAAATTAACGTGATTTTAAAAGTTAAACGTGAATTCATATCTTTTTTAATTAATGTATATTTTGATTTAAGTTTATTTATTGTAGTGATAAATTTTAAAATTAAATTGGCGTATTATATACATTATTAAATTTTATATTTAAACCTTTTAATAGGTATATACTGTGATTTTGTAAGTTAATAGAAAATGATAGAATTAATTGGAAATTAATATAATAGTTAATAGTTCATAAAAATAATATATATAAATAAATTGATATTGCTTTTCCAACATTTAACATTATCAGCACTAAAAAGCAGTTATTTTAAAACATTACAGAGCACTAACAAATAAAGTACATTGCATAACTAATCTTGTTAACTAGAAATATGAACATTGACGTTTATTTGATTTATAAGTTTAGTTTAATAACTGTTTCTAAATGTCAAATAACAAAAGTATTTATTAAATATAAAATTAGTTGATCTCAATAATTACAAGTAATAAAGTTGTAAATAATTGTTTATTTAATTTTTATATTCATTACTGCCGTAATTTACATTAATTTTCATGTTTTAAAGTATATTTTCAATCATTGAATTCGTGTCCATATTCTGATGGCTTGATTACGTGGTCTCACTTCAGCCAAGGAAACCAAGAAATTCATATAAAAATTAAATGTTGTGTTGGCATTACCGAATGACCCTGTATATACATCATTACTAAAAACTCCCGGTGTCATGTTTGCATAATTTGATACGGTCTGATTAACTTGTGGGGAATGGGCATCGACCATAACTAATCTTGGTGAATCTCCTTCTTGAATAGTTTCATTAAACTTCGTACTATTCCCACCCTCAGCCCTAAAAAACAAGCCCGCATACGATGGGGTAATATTGTCCCAGCTCATGTTAGGCCATAATACTTTTGGGTCAGGCTGGTTTGGTAATTGTGTGTATATGAACCCCATGGGCACTGTATTATTGCTCAAGTAATCAATCTGTTTTTGCATGCCCTCTATAATAAGTTTAATCTGATCGAGTGACCATTGTGCACTTTGGCATACTACACGATTTAGTTTGGTGCATGCTACGTCCACCCATTTACCAGTATTGGGAGTTGTCGACTCCATTTCCACGCATTCATCGGTTGCATTTGATGGCTCACCAGTTTCCCAATTAGTGTAGTCATCCTTGGACCCCATCTACCCAGGTCACTTTCTTGTTACTCACTGTAGCCCCAATCCATACGTTGTCCACTACTTTATGTTTCGTGAATAATAGGTCCGATAGAAAGTCCTGTTCCTCTTGTGAGTGTATGGTTAGTAGTGTAGCGCCGATCCCTTGTTTTCGGCATACATCCAATGAGCCAGTGTAAGTTGATAAACCATCATGGAAGTATTTTAAACATTTTGTTTTATATTGTTCCCATCCCTCAGGACAACTTGGGTCACCATGCACGTACGTGTCTATTATTAAATATATAAATTTTACATTATCTAATTATTTATAATAATTTATAACGAGGTACATAAATATATAATTTAATTTTTCATTTACAGTTTGAAGTTCACGTATTCTAGATCATATAATGTACTGAANCTTGGGTCACCATGCACGTACGTGTCTATTATTAAATATATAAATTTTACATTATCTAATTATTTATAATAATTTATAACGAGGTACATAAATATATAATTTAATTTTTCATTTACAGTTTGAAGTTCACGTATTCTAGATCATATAATGTACTGAATAAATTACTTACAAATTGTTAATAGCAAATATAATGCTAATTGTGTTAGACTAATCGTCTTAAAAATATTTGTATAATGGAAAAATTCTAAGAGGAATATTTGTTTTACACATTAGTTATTAGAATCACTAAATTCCTATTTATATAGAATAATAATAATATGCCCTTGTAATTATTTAATCTATATTGGTTTAGCAATTAGAATCAATTTCATGCGGATTATATTACTTATGTTATTAACTGGATTATTTAGAATTTTATTAATCCATGATAAATTAAATATATGAACATAAATTAATTAATAAAAGGTTAATGATTTGAAATTAATTTGCAGTTTGGTATTAACTATTTTAGCTTTTAATGTTTATAATGTTGATAAAATTAACACATAAAATTTAATTTAATTAATAACATTATATCTGGCAATAATTACCAACAATATTATCTATATAACATATTTTTGGACTGATTTAATATAAAAGATTATTTTATTATACAGCTTTAAATTGATAAAATTTTGTTGTAGTCTGTTATGTTATTGCAATATTTTAAATGTTAATCCACATAGATTTCATAAATTAAATTTCAATGTAACTAATTCGTTGCAAAAACATTATACTAGTAGATCTAAAATAGATAAATAATTAAAATGTTATCATATTTTAAATATAATTAAATGTAAAAAATCAATTTATACTGTATAAATTATACAAATGTATAAAACCAAAGAAATAATTTATTAAAATAATAAAACCTTTAAAACATTAAATTATATTTATACATAGCAAAATATAGTGCTTGATGATTTATAATTTATATAAAATGAATAATGATATGAATTACTAATAAAAGTTACATTACACTAATAAAAACTTAACTGTAACTTAACGCGTTGTACCGCTTTGAATATTGAACTACAAACCTACCGGTGCTTCAAATATTAGACGCGGTAACCTAAAAATTTTAAATAGGAGTTTGTTCCAGCTGAAAATATAACTATGGGCTAAGATTTAACGTTAGACAATAGTCGCTGAATAGGGATATAGACTAATGTAGTAATAGATTCAAGGTACCTTAAGTAATTACCTTAAGTAGATTAACTGTAGTCGAAACAGAGAGACAATGGGATTCAGATAACAGCCGCTCGATGACTGAATCCCCATAAACTCATGTGACCGTAAAGATTGTTAACCAAAAGGTACGTCCCTTAAGCGGTAACTCTTTCGTGGTCAGAATCCTATGTTTCCCGACGCCAATGGTTCAGTGGGTTTGTCTGTGTGTCCACTTAAATCTGTGACATACCTTTGAGTGACGCGAGTATTGAATCGTTAACCAAACGGTACACAATGGCCGCCCGCCCGACGTAGTACTGAACGACAATATAACTGTAGGAAGTGTTATATAGTAATCTTGCATACAGGCATCCCAAAGGTCTGAACAAGGTCATATTAGAGTTGTGCCACAACTGCCCAATCTTAAGTATTACTATTCTATAGTTGCGACCATCTATGAGAAAAATGAGGGTCGTCCTCAGTGTCACAACAATATAATAATTAAAATTAAAAGTAATATACTTTGTACAGTAGTAGTAATTGTATAGTATGGTGTGATAAATATTATTAAACATACAGTATCACGCATCTTACTTTCACAATTATAATTTAGTTAATTATAATTTATTAATTGCAAGTTATTTTTAAAAATTTTACTAATTAGCGATAAATTTTATAAATTAAATTAATATTAGTTTATTTGATCAACAAAATTTCTTTATTTAAATTTCTATAAATATAACTATAATTAAACTGCTAAGACGAACAAAATGCACAAGTTTTTCGCACCAAGCAAATATTAATTTAATATATTGAACTAATTTTTTTCATTTATTTAATTCGTATCCATATTCTGATGGCTTGATTACGTGGTCTCACTTCAGCCAAGGAAACCAAAAAATTTAAAAAGAAGTCACTTCCTGAAGAATATGTTCCTGACTTTAAATCATTACTGTACACACATGGTGTAATGGATACCCAATTTGATGTGCAATTAGTGCTTGTATAGTGCGTATCAACCATAACCAATCTTGGCGAATCTTGTTCTTGAATATTACCATTAAACGACGTACTATTCGCTCCCTCAGCCCTGAAAAATAGCCCTGCGTACGTGGGAGTAATATTGTCCCAGTCCATTTTGGGCCACAATGTTTTCGGGTCAGGCTGACCTGGTAATTGTGTGTATATGAAACCTATGGGAACTGTATTTTTGCTCAAATCAAGTACAGTTGCCTTTAATTCATCGATCATATGCTTAATTTGGTCCAGGGACCATTGGATAGTTTGGCAAACAACTAAGTTCTTTTTGGTACATGCTACATCTACCCATTTACCAGTGTTAGGAGCCGCTGCCTCCATTTCCACGCAATCGTTTGTCGCATTAGTAGGTTCACCAGATTCCCAATTAGCGTAGTCATCCTTGGACCCATCTACCCAGGTCACTTTCTTGTTACTCACTTTAGCCCCAATCCATAAGTTATCAACGATTTTATGTTTCGTGAATAATAGGTCTGACAGGAAGTCCTGTTCCTGTTGTGAGTGTATGGTTAGTAGTGTAGAGTCAGCCGATTGTTTACGACATAAATCCATTGAGTTATCATAGGTTTGTAATGTATCAGGTAAAATTTTAAAACATTTTTCTGTTTTATATGGTNAAGTCCTGTTCCTGTTGTGAGTGTATGGTTAGTAGTGTAGAGTCAGCCGATTGTTTACGACATAAATCCATTGAGTTATCATAGGTTTGTAATGTATCAGGTAAAATTTTAAAACATTTTTCTGTTTTATATGGTTCCCACCCATCGGCACAACTTGATTCACCATGCACGCATTTAACTGTTTAAAAAAATTTTTATATTTAATAGTTAAAGTATTATTTTCTGAAACAGTATATTTAACACAAATTAATATTAAATTTGCTAATAAAAAATTATATATTTTTTAATTTGAATTACAAACTTCATTAGAATTTTAGTTAATTATGTATATAAAAAGTATTACTTACAAATTGTTAAAACTAAAATTACTGGTAATTTTGTTAAACAATTCATATTTATATTTTAAGTTAAAAAATATTTATTTAAAAAATTAGTTATTAAAATAATTTATATATTTTACTCAGTCCTATTTATATAAAATTAAAATCATATACATGAAAAAGGTCATGCAATTGTAATCATATTAGACTGGGACTCTAAGTTACCAGGTTCATGTCCTAAATGATAATTTTCCACATACACATCTCCGTTTTTATACCGGTTAATTCTTGTTTCATTTATCATATCGTAAATTGCATTTTTATTTTCACTTAAAATAGAATAGTCCACGGCTGCGAATATGGCCTTGTCTTCATAATCTTGTTTATTTTTCAGCATATTCATGAATATGTTCATTGTTTTATCAGCTACTCTGGTATTATCGTAGTTAAAAAATAGCATATAAATATCATTATTATTATATTCCCATAGAAATTGTTGAAACACAGTGTATTTGCTCAACATGGTGACATTCATTTTGAGTATATATTTTATAAAGGTTATTTCTTGTTTTAATTTATGAAAAAGAAAATTAAATTAAAGATGTAAAAAGGTGCTCATACCTAGTAATCATCGTAAATAATCATGGTACAAGTTAAATAGTTGACAGAGTAAAGGTTTAGAATGATTGTGTTCCACAAGTCTGTTAACTATACGAATTCTAGCCTCGTATAAATTGAAATTGTATTGCAGTTGGGTAACTTTGTTAATTTTGTTACTTTCAATATAAGGCTCCATAGCATTAACATCAGCGTGTAGATCAAATATTTTTTGTCCCATTGTATTAATGTTATCAAATAATTGAACACACCTTTTAATAGTTTCATCATCAATAGTTTTAGCAATTGTTCCCGCAACCTGGTTAGTTTTCCATAATTTTCGCAATTGATTCATAGGAATCAACGAGTAGCTAATTGCATTACCTTTTCCGTTATTTGAATTTCTGATAAGTGTCGGGGCAATTTTCATAATTTTCACGGCGTCAATTAAACTTTTAGCCGTCTCATTCGGTAAAATATCGCCAAATATTTCAAATTTGAACTCGCTAAATTTACTCTTTTCACCATCTGTTATGTTTACAGTAGCTGACCCAGCTATTTCATATAATTTACTAACTATTATGAAATTTGGAATAGACAGATATAATAAATTATTTTATTACGTAAAATTTTACATATTAATATACTATTTACCTTCAGCTCTTAAATTTCCTTCTACTTTTGTATTATCTTGTTCATCTGAATTAGTATCCTCGATCGATATAAACACATTTCCGCCCCACTGTATGCCCACCACTACATGCGTGGCATCTATTTGCTCAAGCACATCCAGGTCTATCATGGGCTTTAATTCGGTATTGTGTATAACTATATGATCGTAACAAGTTGTCATAGAGTGAATCAACGATGCCTTTGCGCTCCGGTAGCTTTGTTTTTTATCGTTAAAAAATTTGGCTGATCCCTCCAATTTAATTAATCCAGTTAACATGCTTAACTTTATTTCCGCCGTAATATCCAGGGTGTTAAATTTTTCCTTGTAGGTGTTGAGCATGGCCACTTTCATTTTACTTTCACCATTGTCGGTGGATATGATCGAACTACTCGGTTGTTTTTTATTGAATAAAGATATAGCCAGGAATTTGTCTTCACGTGAATCATAGAGTTCCCCTATTTGTGCCACCCGTCCCACTGCCGATACCACAATGGGTCCAGAATTACCCTGATTAAAATTGTAAAATATTTAAAATATTTTTGTTAATAAACTCTAAAAACTAAAACCCATTTCACGGCAGACACCATAATAAAATTAGGTTTGGTAGTATCATGATTAAGGATTAAAATTACATGTAATTTTTTTCTAGGTAACTCACGTAACTTACGGTATTTTTCGTAACTTATTATTTCATAACATATTTGAACATATTACATAACATTGTTGAACAGTAAATATAAAACAATTCATTTTAACATAAAAACAATATAATAGTAATAGAATTGTTAACTAAATAAACGAATGTAACTAGATTCATTTATTATCGGAAATAAATTAAATTTATATCAATTTTATAGTTTATTAAAGTGAGTTTCCGATATTTTGCCAATAGGTGTCGCTAGAAATAAGTTGGTAAGTTACATGTAAGTTATTTTTTGCTTGTAAGTTACGCGTAAGTTACAGTGTAAGTTACGTAAGTTACAAAGACTTACGATATTTTCTCTAATCATGATATTATTTAAATTAATTATACAATTGTATATAGTTATTTATAACTACTGTATTTTAAGGATTATATGTAATTTAGGAAATAATATAATATTAGAATTTTGTAAATTTTAATTGTAATACATTTATTTATAATTTATATATTTAGCATTTATATTTAAAAAATACTTATTTGTATAAAAATACTTACCAAACGATTTACATTGCTACCCACATTTTGCAATGTACTAGATAAACTTCTAATTGAATAGAAATTAATTAAAATTAACAGCAAAAATGATGACCTGTACATTTTAATGAATATTCAACTGCGTATTTTCTAAAAATTAAATTTTAAAATTCAAATTATATAATTAGTGTTATTTATAATTTAAATTAAGTGTATAACTTAAATGTAATTTATAATTTAAATAATATAAATAATGTTTGAAATTCAGTATTTTATCTTTAACGTTTAAATAAACCTTGAATCATTAAATATAAACAAAAAATGTTTATGATTTACATCTATTATTAATAATTAATATATGAATCATAATCCGGATAAAATTGGGAAATTGTAAAACAAGGATTGCAAGCAATGCTATAGAAACCCGCATTTACATTTTAGCAAATAGAGAATCAATCAAATATATCCTCAATAATATTCCTAAAATTTATTTATAGAAGGAAGATGAGGGAGGGAGGGAAGAGATAGGAGGAAAGAAATTAGTTGTATTTGAATCATTTATTGGTCTAGTGGAAATAAAATGATTTTTACTGTGATTTTCAACACTTAGCATTTTCAATAAATTTTGAAAAATTTCAAACCATTGTTGTGGAACTATATATCCATCCCATAGGCTTTGCATGAGGTTTAGTGGGATATTCAACACTTTTAAGCTATTTTAGCATTTTCAAGAAATTTTCAAAATTTTCAAACCATTGTTGTGGAACTGTATATAAATCCCATAGGCTTTGAAATTCAGCAATTTTGGTTAATTTATTTGAACAATTCAGTAAAAATGACGTCATACCATTATAAGTCTATGGGATTATTGTTCCCGCAAGTGTCCATTTGCTCATAAAGTACCGTTCTTTAATATTCACGTCACTTTCTCATAGACTTAACATAAGGCTGGAATCATAAGCGACATTATGTCATCAAAAACACTTTTGCTGGGATTTTACATAGAAAAAATATTTTACTGGTTTTCATTGTTGCAATAATTTACCATTATAAGTCAATGGGCGTGACGCAGCGTGACGTCACTTTCGTCACTAATGACGGGGGAGGGGGATGGGAGGTGGTCCAAAGTAATCTTATAACCCACATTTTTTACTTCATAAATGCGGGTAAAAAATTAAAAATTATGAATCGAGCCCTTACTTTAAACAAATAAACTAATGTATATTTGAATATCTATAAATGATGAAAATAATTAAGAAAAGTATTTATTAATAACTTTATATTTTTAAAGATTATGTGTTTTAACAACTTTTGGAAAACTTATTACTAAACTTTCTACTTTAAAATATAAAATGAACAATAAATTATTTATATTTATGTTTTGAAGTATAAGTTTTTTTAAATACTTTTTAGACTGTACTTTTGTTACTTTAAACATTGGTTATTATATTGATTTGATAGTATTATTGATAATGTTTGTGTATTATTTATGAATAATAGATAATGAAATATTATTTAATTTAATAATTTAATAAATATAAATTAGGCAAACCTCTTTCTCATCAAGCAAATATGCGTATTTTAAAATTGGTTCAAACTGTCTTTCAAAATATTAAAAATAGTTTCTTTGTACAAAAACTGTGACTATTACGCCTAACATTTTGTCCTAGGCATAAATATTTTCTATTACCGTTATTTATAACTCTTGATCAAAGTAGTTTTATCAAGGGCTGTAGTTGTAAGACTTAAAATGTGTATGTCATTTTTTTATTAAATTTGGTTTATTAATAGATTAATAATAATACAAAACATTTTATTTAATGAATGAACCCAATTTTAATAAAAGTTGCATGCTCATTTATACTAAATTTAAAAGTACACTGCTTACAAGCATACTCAATTAAAAGTATAATAAGCGAAAACACGTTACAATAAAACATAAACATGAATAACGCGTTGAATTGTTGGTAGTCTAAAGGTTCGTATATGGGAGGGGGTCCGCCATAAAAGTCGGACACGTGTTTGCCATTTAAAAGGCCACTTTGCTCGAGGGTCACTGATGTAAAATCGTAATAAAACGCTGAAGCATATTGTAAATGAACCTGCCTCAATCCCACCTCGAACAATCGTCGCGAACTAAATTGTAAATAATAATGTTTAACACAATCTATTTATATTACCATTGGAGGTTGTTTTTATAAACATGAATCCTCGAGAAATAAGCATGCAAATTGTAATATTATTTAGTGTTAGTTAAATAATACATTACACAAATGGTACTAGGCGATCGAACTCGAAACTAGGTCCGTAACATAAATCGGTCAACGGGTCGGCCAAATAGCACTGGCTCTCAAAGAATTTTTTGAATCTTTCGCCAAATTTAAATGCCTTGTTGTTATATGTAACAGATACTACATTGTCAAATAAGTCTGTCGTAAACAAGGCGTTCATTATATCAAACGACTCCATATTAAACGGCAACACGTGAACGAGCTTGGTCATTCGTTTGTATTTCTCGCGGAATGTAGGCTCAGTAAATTTGTCATAAAATGAGCTTGTTATGTATTTATCGTAGTAGCCCTCGTCCGTATACAACGTAAGCCGATCATCAAATACGTCGTCCATAGTCGCCACGTGCCTGATCTCCCTATTGACCATTTGGGATGTCAAGTCATTTTGTACGATATGAACCAGGGGCATAATAGCAATTGACCACAATAAATATAAATAATTACGATAACCTAATCCAATTAAATCAATCGAGTATTAAACATGTTTAATTATTATTCATATTGTTTACTTAGATTCTCGCCGATTAATATCACAGGTTTAATGTAAATCCACAAGCTATGCCATATAGATTTCTGAACGTTATTTATGAGACGTGTGTCGTAAATAAACTTATCCGTTATAATGATTACAACAAACGCGATAGCTATTAAAATCCAA